GTGAAGTGTTAAAAAGGAAGAGAGTAAACCCTGCAGGAGCTCTATGTGTGTTGAAATGCCCAGAGCAGCTGTGGTTCCCCCATCCCTGGCAGTGCCCAAGGCCAGGTTGGACACAGCCTGGAGCAGCCTGGGATAGTGGAAGGTGTCCCTGCCCCATGCTGGAGGTTAAATCTTTAGGGTCTGTCCAACCCAAACCATTCCAGCACTCTATACATCATTTATGACATACTTAGGGAGTTTTTAATGCTCACAGGGGAATCATATAACTCTGAGATGCCTTCAGTTGGTTTTGCATTTTGCTTTCTGGTGTTCTCTGTTCTCTGGGTGATTTGGAGATGCTGCCCCTGTGCTGCAGCCCCTAAACCCAGCAGCCACCCAGCTGTGTGTGTGATCCAAGACATTGCTTGTCCACTGTGAGGAACTTCTTCCTTTTAGGGCCTTGATGAGCAGCTGTGGGAAAGGAGCTGGAATTCAGCTCTGAACTTTGCACAGTTTTCTGTGGTTGTTTTCCCCTTTATTGCCCATTTCAGAGTAGGTGTGTGTGGCCTACCAGAATGCCAGGGGAGCCATGAACGTGCTCTTAAATTGGGTTCCCCCAGAAGTGGTGGACTCTCTGTTGTCTGACTGGACCCTGCTCTTTATCCTCACCTGAGGGCTGCTCCTGCAGCCTCCTGCTTTTACCTGTGCCTGCCAAGGCTCAAGTTCCCAAACCCCAATAAAGGCACCCAAGCCTGTCCCTTTGAGGAAGAAGTTTGAGCCACAGTACATGGAAAACAATGCTTCCAGCCCAGGACATTGATTGTAAATCCTCACTACACTGCCCAGGGCTGCAGAGTCTGCAGGTTAAAGACAATTTCACAACTGAAATAAGGCTCAGTTTGTGGATCTAGGAGAACAAGATGAAGGGTGAAAATGTTCAGAGCTCAGGTCCCACTTTCCAAAGGGTTTGCATCCCCTTTTCTCTTGAGAATGTGGCTTGGGCTCTGGGTATTGAGCTTTACAAGAGCACCTGATCTTTGTTCTTCTCTTGGAAAAATGGTTAGGGGCAAGTCCTTCACCATGTCCTTTTAAAGTTTGTTTTAGCAAAGCTGCTTTGTCAGAAGGCAATATCCCAATAGTGCCCTATCCCAATATCCCAGTATCCCAATAGTAATTGTGTGTTTCTTCCTCCTCCAGGCCTCCTGGTTATCCCAACATGAACCAGGGGGGAATGATGGGCACTGGGCCTCCTTATGGGCAGGGAATTAACAGCATGGCTGGCATGATGAACCCCCAGGGCCCCCCCTACCCCATGGGGGGCAACATGGCCAACAACTCTGCAGGTAAGCCAGAGCTTTGGGACCTCACTGATGTCATTGCGTGGAAGGAGAATCAGTGTTAAAGATTCCTTTATCTTCCCAGGGATGGCAGCCAGCCCTGAAATGATGGGACTCGGGGATGTCAAATTAACACCTGCAACTAAAATGAACAACAAGGCAGATGGGACGCCCAAAGCAGAATCCAAGTCAAAGGTAAAACGTTCTGGGTTTTGTTTTTATTGACTCCCATCCTCCTCAGCATCCAGGGAAATAAAGCCATGTGTTGTGTTGGATTGAACAGTGGAGGGGAACGCTTCCCAGTCCTGTGGGAGACATGGATTTCACCTGGAAAACAAATTCAGTATTAGGAATTATTACCTGCCACAGTGAAACTGCCAAAAGCAGCGTAAACAAACCTGAGTTTGTTGGTGGAGGGGGCCTGGAGCGAGGCAGCAGCTCTCAGCTGGGACGTGGTAACTAAAGTGGTGCAGTTGTTTCACAAACAGACCTCTCACTAATCCTGTATCAAAGCCAGAAGAGGGAGGCAAACAAGTTCTTCAGGGAGTGTTTTTCTTTGCATTGCTGCTACCAGTTTCAAAAGAACCACCAAAAAAGCAGTTTCTGAGCCCCTGGTCTCCTCCTTTGCTACCTGAAGGAAAACAAATGCTCAGCAGGTTTGATCCCTGTGCCAGCAGCAGGAAGATCCAGGAGATCTCTCACTTCTGCTCCTGTGTTCTGGCATCTGCCTGTCTTATTTATGGCAAAAGAGGAGTTGAATGCTCTTGGCCACAGATCAGGGCTGGTCTGTGCTGTGAAGGAATCTCATGTGCCATGAACACGCTCAGTTCTGGGTCTGGGCTTCCCCTGACATATCAGGTTTGAGAAACACCTCTAGTTCAGGAGCTCATTTTTAAGTAAAGGTTTGGAGTGCCAGAGCCATCTCTGCCTCCACTCCAGGTGGTGAAGGACACAGGAGACAGGGCCAGATGCCCCCTGGGACATGGAGGAGCCGCCGTGGTGCCGCTCAGTCCTGATCTCTCTTTCCTTCTCCTAGAAGTCCAGTTCCTCTACCACGACCAACGAGAAGATCACCAAGCTGTACGAGCTGGGAGGGGAGCCCGAGAGGAAGCTGTGGGTGGATCGATACCTGGCCTTCACTGAGGAGAAGGCCATGGGCATGACCAACCTGCCAGCCGTGGGCAGGAAGCCCCTGGACCTGTACAGGCTCTACATCTCTGTCAAGGAGATCGGGGGATTGACTCAGGTCAGTGAGCCCAGCACAAAGGTCAGCTCTGGGGCCACATGTGAGCCATGCATTTCCATTTAGCCTTAACGTTTTATCTGCTTTATTTCTGTAAATAAAACCCAGCACCCTTTAAGGGAGCCAGATGTCTGCTCCCCCTTTGTCTGGGTGAGAACAGTCTGCGGCCAGATCCGATCCAAGCCCTTTTCCCTGCTTGCCCAGTGCAAAGATTGGTGACACTGCCTTTATCTTTGCATCTGGCTGTCAGCTGACCTCGTGCCTAATTTGATTTGCAATCTGTCCCTGGAAATCTGAAAAGTTTTCTGTAGGTGAAGAAGGGAGTTCAGTGGTTTTGGGGTTGCTCTGCTTGGCCCTCAGTGCATCCTTTGTGTGAGCTGGGAAGGGAGCTGATGTCTCCTCTGGGAGAAGGTCCAGCTGGGATTTGGAGTTCAGAGCCTCCTGTTTGCTGGTGCAGGTCAACAAGAACAAGAAGTGGCGTGAGCTGGCCACCAACCTGAACGTGGGCACGTCGAGCAGCGCAGCCAGCTCGCTGAAGAAGCAGTACATCCAGTGTCTGTACGCCTTCGAGTGCAAGATCGAGCGCGGCGAGGATCCCCCGCCCGACATCTTCGCAGCTGCTGACTCCAAGAAATCCCAGACCAAGATCCAGCCCCCATCTCCAGGTGAGGCCAGGCCTGGTTTGAGCCGGGCTGTGTGAGCAGCAGGGTCTGTGGCACGTGCTGGGGGCCAGGCTGGTCCAAACTGCCAAACCTGCCCCCCGTTCTCTGGCTGTGCAGGATAAAAATGCTTTGGTAAAGTGGGAGTGGGTGGGACTGGGAGTGAGTTGAGCCTCTTGGGATTCAGTTTGTGTGTCCAAGCTCTGGATTGAGCTTGAGAGAAAGGAAATTCTAAAAATACACACACACACCTCTGTGCTTGCTGCTGCATCTCTCTGGAGTTTCCCTGCAGGGTGGCTCCAGCAGCAGCCCCTGTCACTGCTCCTGTTTGGGACCCCACTGCAGAAGCTGAGCTGCTTTGGACTGTGGCAGTGATTCCTTCTGGAGGAGAGGCTGCATGTGGGTGTGCACTCACCCTCCTCAGGAATTGCTGCTCCCAGCCCTCAGCAGGAGCCAGGGAGGGCATTCTGGGGCTCTGCTCAGAGCACTGGGGGCCTACAGCAGGCTGGCTGCTTTAGGAATCTTTGAAATGCACCTTTGCTGTTGTTTCAGATTTCAGGGGGTGCTCCTGTTTCTGAATATTTAAGCATAATGCTCAATTCAGATTTGTTAAACAAAAAAAGAAAAGACATGCAGGCCAGCCATGCACGTTGTGCTCTTTAGTCTTTGGAAAGTCTGATCCTTTCTGTCTCATTTGCATTGAGTTCATTGCTTGAATTGCTGCTGAATTTGCCAACTCTCCTTTAAGCTTGAGTTTTCCAGTTTGTCTTATAACTAAAAATCTTCAGATGCTTTTTCTGGTCAGGAGCCTGCTCATGTAGGTGAAACAAAAACTTGGTCTGCTTTGAAGTTCCTATAATGTTTGCAAAAAAATGCTTTTTTGGTTGTGAAACCTGGCACCACGTTCGTCTGGCTCCTGAGGAGCAGAATAATGAAGCCCTTTTGCCTGCAGTGCAGTTGTGTCCCAGCCCTGCTGGACCCTTCAGGGACAGTGGGCCTGTCCCAGTGCTCTGCTGGGCACCACATTTCTCCTTCCAGCTACAGGGGGTTTTGTAAAGAGCTAAATCCTGTCTTGTCACTGGTCAGGAAAGCTGCCCCATGGAGCTTCAGCCTTGTGTGTTCTGCAGGATAAAGTAACTTCTGTGCCATTAGATTGAACCTCTGTCCAAAGTGGGTCTGAGTTCTGCCCGAACTACACCACAAATCCAATCCCACTTTATTTCCAAAACCTCTTTCTTGCCCCCCAAGGCAGTGGAACAAAGATGTTGAGAGCATTTGGAGTTTGTTTGGAGAGAGCTGAGACTTTTAGGAAGCCACTTTAGACTTGTTGCAGCTCTAGGTGTGTGTCAGAGTGGATTAGGTGCTGCATCAGATTTTGTTTTGTTTTAGCTCACGTGGTGTTTGGGAAGGGCCTGGCTCTGCCTTCTGGGCTGAGCTGCTGCTTCAGCAGGAGGAATGTGCAGGGCTCTTACCCCAAACTCTGCACGTTTGGCTCCTGCTCTGAGAGGACCCTGCTGCATTTCCAGCTCAAACCCTTCTCTGGGTGCTCCAGCTCCCACACTGGGAACGTGCAGGGCAGCACTGCAGCCTGGCTGCTGGCTCTGGTGCTTTCTGCTGAATCACTCGGCTGTCCCTGCTCCTCTTTCACTTTCCTTTTCTTCCTCGCCGGGCCTGGGGGTGTGGGGCAGACAGAAATTGCTCAGTCAGCCCAGCTCCAGGCTGAGGAGCCCTAGGGCGGTGTGGGTGCTGCTCTTCCAGGGCCCCACACAGTCCTGTCCCCAGGGAATCGCCTGGATGAGAATAAATTCCCTGTTTGGGAACCTGTGGACAACAGGGGGATGTTTTGGAGCCATTTCATCATTTGGCTGAAGGGCTCTGCAGTCCCACAGACGTGGTTTGCTCTCCTTGCAGACCTCACAACCTGTTGGCATTGGCTCGCTCTTCATTTCAGCCTGTTCTGCCCAATTAACTCCTGCAGAACTTTGGGAATGGTGAGGGTTGCACTGTGCTGCTCTCCATTAACCCTTCCCAAGGCTGCAGAGGGGGAGCTCCTGGTGCCAGAGCTCGTCGGTGTCCATCACACCCTCAGCAGCCAGCAGTGCCCGGGGGTGGTGGCCAGAGGAGCCGGGAACTCCCTCATGGGCACTGGGAGTTCCCTCTGGCAGAGTCCCCGGGGAGGCACCTTGGGTTGGAATTCCCAGAGCGTGGAGCTGGCCCTGCTTCAGCTCCGGGTGCGTTTGTGAGTGGGAGGGACAGCGGGAGCTGGGGACAAACACCAAATGGCAGCAGGCAGGGAATGTCTGGGGAATGTCTCAGGAAT